GCCTGGGAGCGTGAGCTGCTGCCGGCACCGTGCGGTGACGGCCCTCCCTGAGCGCGGGCGGTCGTCGGTCAAGGACACGCTGCGGGTCACGCCGCGGAGGCGTCCTGTTGAGTAACAGCCCTGCTCCTCCTGGAAGAGTATTTGCACGTCACAGGCGCGAATTGGTTTACAGCACACGGTGCTTATTGACGGCATTAGTAATGTGCCGTTCCATGACACGATGAGGCCTTAAAAGCTTGCCGGGACCTTGAGAGTAATGCTGGCGTGGCGTACCTGCTGTGGGGCGGGATAGAGAGGTTCTCCTGCCATCGCGGCGCTGGAGCGCTCACACTGAAATTTCCGCCGTGTGTTAACGAGCGCTTGGGGCTGCCCTGAGCCCCGAGGTCCGCTCTCAGCCAAGGGAGAGGGGAGGTGCAACAGCAGCGCAAAGTGCCAGGCAGCTTTCGCCCTGGCCAACAGAAGCTGAGATGCCCGTGGGATTACCGGGAAGGGGCAGCGAGTCGGGTGGCCACCACCCCTAACCCCCTGTGGAATGGCACTGTAGGACGGGGCCGAGCAAGCAGCTGCCAGCTCAACACCTCGCTTCATCTGTACATCAGCATCACCATCTGCGGCAACCCGGTACGGATTCCTCTGTGGACGGATCGACAACCCGCATGCCTGACTGCGCGTGCGAACCTTTTAGGAATAAGCATAAAGGGCAAGATCTGGCCACAGCTCAGGCAGCCCACCCCCCATGGCGGCGCTCTAAGCAGTAGGTTAGAATGAACAGATGCAAAGAACCACTTGTATTTTGAAAAGACCGTATAAACTTGACCCAAAAAAACTTGTAGTGCTTTATCTCATCATCTCCCACAAAGGCTTATGTTCCACCACTAGAAATGATGTTTTCTGGGTATGCACAGGAACCTTGTGGTCTTTACCTGCAGCAAAATGAAAAGAAGAAATGAAAAATCACCTACTAGGGAAAAAAGCAAGTGAGTTGAATTCACTTGGGCTGCATTCAGCTCCAGAAAGCTTTCAGCAGGCTGGCAATACGCCGTTATGTTTTTCCCCCATGGCCTCCACACAGGCGTAGCCGGGACCCTGGGATGGCCAGGGCAGGGGCAGGAGCCGCGCCGTGCCTGGGGTGGGATCTGCGTCTGTCCTGCCGTGTTCCTATGCACCTCTCTGCCCAGCGGGGCCTCTCTGCTGGGAGAGAAGGTGCGGGCTCATGTTAGCCAGCCGGAACGAGAGCTCGGTAACTCAGCGCGGCTGGGTTTGGTGTGCTGAGCGCTCTGCTCTTTCCCAGGTTCTGCCAAGGCTTAAAGAAGGGGGTTCGTTTGGAAGCTGCATGAATAAGCAGTCAAATACTTACAGAGCTGTTTCACTTGATCTTTTGAAGCACTGAAAATAAAGAAAGAGTCTTGTTATCTTTTGTATTTCCTGGACATAGGGATATTTTTACAAATATCTCGCAAGTGCGTAATGCCTTCCACCTTAAAATACCTAATATTTGATCTATCTACTGGGAATTCTAAAGCAGGAGGTAGTATGTAGCAGTTCTGTAACAGTGGAAAGCAACACTACAAAGTAGCATAGAAAAGGTAAAAAAGAAACGGGGCATTGCAGCAAAACAATACTATTTTTTTCCTAAGAAACTAGAGCTTTGCATACCTTAAAAATTTTATCTTTTCGAGCCACAATTCCAAAAAGTACCGTGAGTGTAACCACCACGACAGCAGCAATAACAGCCTCCTTGGGAAAAACAGGTTTTTTATCTGTCAAGAGGGAGAGGAGGTTGAATATGTGATAGATTGGTGCAGTCATATAAAACGGAGCATTTCACAGAACTGTGGAAAGACGGATTCCTTTTCCCACGGCTGTCACTGCTGATTTGAACTGTTGCTCTCGCTGCTGTCCGCAGACTGCCTGTGTGGATTAGTCCCCTGGAAAGGAGGGAGCCAAGCCTGTATTTTAGCGAACTGAAGGAAGGATTGAAACGTCGGTCCCTAAAAGAAGAAGATCCCCAAGGCACTGAGACACATGGAAATAAGAGTGTCCAGCCGTATCACTGACACAGCTAACGATGCTTTCCTCTCTGCTCCCAGAAATGAGAGGGGCCCGGACAGTGGGTGAGAAATGGATGCCTGGTGGGTCACCTCACCTCGTGTCACCTGTCTGAGACCTGAGCGTCCAGCCCCTGCAAGGCTGGTACGCTGGTACGTACCAGCTGGTACGCTGGTTTTTGGTTGGCACTGCATGTGCTTGAGAATATAAATCAGTCAATCAGCTCCTCAGCCGTACCCCAGCCAGTCTGAGTCCGGCTGTTGGAGAGTTGCAGTTTGTCTAACGTACAAACCTCAGGACATAGTAAATGAAGAACAAGTATGGAAAATAAATTTCCTTCCTGTTCTCCACAGGGCTGTAGTCACTTCTGGAGGACAACTTCTCTTGCCTTAAGCAGCTCTTTCGGCATGACAGAATACTATGGTCAGAGTAAGACGCTTCAAGTAAGACGTAAGGTGCTTTAAACCACCCTTGAATGTGCCCTGTCAGCATGGGAAGTGAGACAGTGGGACGAGCCTGCCCCGCGTCACGCTTCCAAATGCCTTTGAATAACAGGTAGAGCAGGAAAGGCCCTTCCTGGTGCCGTGGTCCCAGGCACAGGTGCAAGGAGAGCTCCTTGCTGTTGCTGTGCCCTCAGGAGTTAACGTGGGGAATTGACCACATTCCACTTACACTTCTTAATATAAATGGATTGCTATCATTATAAAAGAGAATGGAGAGTTACTTGTAAAGCTTATTGTTTGGCAGCAGACTTGTTACCTTCGACTATCAGGTGGAAATCCTTTCTCCCCTCTCCCAAAGAAGATTTCACCACACAGGTGTAGGTCCCGTTGTCAGACTTCTGTACTTTTATGATAGAGAGCTGAAAGACCTCACTAGTCTGGTACAGCTGGTAGCGATTTTGCTGTAGGGTCAAGGTGATGTTGTTCTTATACCAAGCTGTTTGGGCTTGAGGGTTGGATTTGGCGCTGCAGGACAGAATGACATCTTTGTCTTCTTCGATTTGGAGGGACTCTTCTCCAGTCAGCCGGGGAGGAACTGTTCACAGTAATGCAGTTCAACAGGTCATTAATAATGCTGCTCACCATTTAATACAAAATAAGTTCCCTTTACACTTCCCTTGTGCACCTTGTTCAGTGGTGTAACACATCCCAGTTGTGCAGCCTTTCATGATCCCCGGGAATCAGCAGGGCAGTCAGTGGCAGAGGCGGTCACTCCCGTGACTCCTCTGCCCTGACTTGTATCCCTGAGAAAGAATCTAGGTGGAGGCAGGGACAGATCCAGAACATCGTCTTACTTAAGGGCCCACCCACTCCCTATAAAAGAGGCATTAGATCAGGCCATAAGCACCACTGTGGAAAGGGAGTGTCTTATCGCGTGAGTTATCTCCTCCTAAACGCATTTTTTCTTGGTGAAGACAGTGTACAAGGGTGCAAAACACCCCGCCTTCAGCTAGCGCCCAGACACCGAGGTGCTCAGCCCACGATTTTGTCCCACCCCAGCCATTCTGCACAGATATCCACCACTGCAACTCACACTGGACATCCAGGATCACAGACACCTGGACAGACTTGTCCCGCGCCAGCTTGCACGTGAAGGTGACTCCATTGTCGGACTCGGTGACTGGGGATATGCAGATGTTACTGACGTTCACTTTATTCCCATCTTTCAGATCCACTTTCCCATCTCCTCGGTACCAGAGCAGCTCCTCAGCCTGGCTGCTGTTCTGTACTAGGCAGGAGAGGGAGACGGGAGGGCCAGACAGTGTAGACAGGGAGAAGTCAGCAGCGTGGTTATTCACAGACAGTTCCAAACCTGCAAAAGAAGGAGAACGAGGGCACTAAGCATCCGAAGCTGTACCCTTCCCACAAAAGCTGCCCTGCTAGCTTCTCCAAGCCCTCGACCTTGGAGGAGGGACTGAGTTTCAGGCTTCAGTCTAACAGCTGTTTTCAGGTGGGACTTTAGTTTTTGAGGGAAGAAGTGTCTTCATCACAAAGCTCCCTGCACAGTTACTTAAAATAAGTCGGGCTTTTGCAACTGACTGCGAGAACTCCAAAGCCTGACCTGGAATAAGAAAAGGTCTGAAAACCAGCAGTGATTGTGTAACACACACAGGGCAGATCATCCCCATCCTGCCAGTCTTGCTCACCCTCTTGCTGCAAATCACCGTTGCAGCATACCTGTGCCCTCCGGTTTTGTGCCCATGGTTTGGTACGCTGGTTTTTGGTTGGCACTGAATGTGCTTGAGAATATAAATCAGTCAATCAGCTCCTCAGCCGTACCCCAGCCAGTCTGAGTCCGGCTGTTGGAGAGTTGCAGTTTGTCTAACGTACAAACCTCAGGACATAGTAAACGAAGAACAAGTATGGAAAATAAATTTCCATAACGGGCTGAAACTCGCTACTGTAGCCTGTGTCATAGATGAATGAACTAAAAATATAGCTTAGAATATAAAGGCTGTCCTGTGAATATAAAAAAGAATATAGTCCTGTGAATATAAAAAAGTCTGAAGCGCCCTGTCTCTTCCCTGGTGCTCCCAGGTGGCCAAAGCTATCACACTTTTCACTTCTCGGAGCAGGTTTGAAAACGGTGGCCTTGTCATCCCTGTGCAGCTGCTGCAGTGACGTTGGAAAACGCTGAAGCTTCCCCATTCCCTTCTCTGCTATTCTCAAAATCAGAGGCCAGTTTTTAGACAGTCCTCTGGGGATGACCTCCAGAACATCTGAAAGCTGGGATGCTGGTGTGGCACATCACCCCGGGCACTGCCCGACCCCGGACGGTTTCGTATGTCGGCATGATGGGGCTTGGACAAAGCCACGACGGATTTTTTCCATTGCTTACCTCTGGCTACGCATGCCAAAAAGCAAATGGTAAGGACAGGCACTTCATGGGGGACTGCGAGGCTGCTTCTCTGCACCATCTCGGAGGAGCCCAGCTGCCGTCTGTTGGAGAGAGGGTCACAGCGTTGCTGCCTCTGCTCGGGGCTCGCCGGGGGTTAATTGCTTGCTGCTGTCAGACCCCCCGGGGAGAGCCCTCGAAGACGGGGACAGGGTCACCAAGGAATAAACTAAATCGACTTGTTGCAGGACCTTTTCCAGTGCAGAGCAGAATCAAGGGGGTTTTACGTCTCTAATCTCCGTTTCATGAGTTCGTGGTTGGCAATCAGCTGTCTATCGGGGGAACCCGTCTCTGGGATGTGTAGCACCGGACTTACCTTGGGAAGAGTCTCTGGAGAGGCTGCTTCTGATAAGAAGTGCACAGCTCTTTCACTTCCTTATAAATAAGGTCTGAATTTTAATATTTTATGGTAGCTCAGTAAGAAGTGAGTCCATAAAATGGGTTCAAGGCCTCATTCAATTCCTGGATTTCTGAGCTCCCAGAATACTGCAGAAAAGTATTTGCTGGGCTCTGCTGGCTGTTTTATGAGACTTGCCGAGGCAATGAGTAACTAACGAGAGAGTTCCTGCATCAGCTATAAAGACCTTCAGCCAAAAATAATACCTTTCCCCTCTCAGCTTTCTGGGTGTTCACGACACCGTTTCAAGCTGTACAAGTTTATCCTAGATTATCCTAAAGCAGGAGTAGACTCCAATTTGCCCCTTCCTGCCCGAAGCTCTGTTGCCGTGTCCTCCTTTGACTGGAAGATGAGAAAATGCACCGATTCAGACTTTGAACTGCATGTTGGCAGAGGAGAGAGCAGAGGCACTGTCCTGCTCACCAGTGTGTACCCCCAGCGTGCTCCTGTGGTTAGCTCAGCCCCTGGGCACCCCCCAACATAGAGCCAGGGGTCCCCCGCTGCTGGGACAGCTGTGTGCACCGGCTGCGTGTCTGCGGAGGGCACAACTGAAACGCTCGGCTACGGGGAAAACGGCGTCTGAAATTGCCTGCT